TATTCATTTTTCAATCTCTTAACACCCCATTCTGCATGCTGGGTATTTTCTTTACATGCACCTTGTCTTGTTCTTTTTCAGGTGTGTTTAGTGTATTCTCCCTTACCCATGGAATTCTAAATTTTAACAATTATACTCTCCCCTTCCAAAAGTTTTAAAGGGCTCTTTTCCATGTATCCTTAGCCACATTAGTCTGTCTTTTACTCATTTTTAAAAATTTCTTTTCACAGTTAGATCATAGTTAGCCTTTTTGGCCTCATAACTCTAATCTTTGTTTATTTTAATGACACTCACTTTGATTAATTTTCTATTATGTCTTGTGATCTTTGACTATGAATTCCATTTAATTGAGATTAATGTGTGGGAAATTCCAAGCTCATAAAGTGAAGTTTTCTCCAGACAGGATATGTAATACTTGTTGGATTTTCTTCTCTGTATGATTATCAAAGTCTTAAATATTAAAAAAAGCAGAAAGGCAAATAATTTCATTCATACATAAAAAGTGTTATATATTTGTTTATTTAAGTAGTAGAATTTCCCACAGGAGAAATAGAGGTTGCACAAGGAGAAAGCTCTCTGTTAGGAGTATCTCACTTTCTTTCATACTGTACCATTTTCATGCATTTGCATGACATAATAAAGTAGCTTGAAGCTTTAGTTTCAAAGCATTGGAAGGCTAAACAAAACGGTTGGTTAACTCAGATGCATATAAAGAATCATAACATACAAGGAATATAAACAAAGTTAAAGAGTCAGAAGCAAGCCCAAACCCAAACACCTCCCACGTGAGAGTAGGTCTAATCATCTAAGCAATTTGACATGTTCTTCCAAGTGATAAATAATAATGTCAGTTGTAGTCAAAGGGAGATTATGTATCTACCAATTTATACTTAGAAGGCTGGGATCAGATCATAACACTACTAATATTCTAAACTACATTATTTCTTTTCAGAGATATTTTGTATTTACAACTGAGAGTTGGATAGGCATATGGCACAGTTATAGAACACTTGCCTGGTAGTCCCTGGGTTCAAAGCCATTGTACTACAAACAAGCAAACACAAAAATGTTTGAGGGTCTGTAGAGCTACACACAGTGGTCCTTAAATGACTTCATATATGAGGTTAGAGGATGGGAGTGGAGAGGGGTGTTTGAAGATTACTCCTGACTAAATCCTCCAGATGAAATTCTATCATTGAAATTTCTCCACATTAAGAAAAAAAATTCTGCCATTTTCTTTTATGGTTTAAGAAATGTGTTTTTAACATTTGTGGGGTACAGTTT